CAGGCAGTAGGGTGGCTGCCTTTGATTTGAAGCTCTTTAGTAACCTGTGAAGCTTTTCAATACAGTAATTGAGGAAACTTGACTTGAACAAAAAAAAAAGTAGTTAATGTTTTTGTAATCTATAAGCATGGGTTTTATTTAGAGATTGCTTAAGGCCTTTTAAGAAACTTTATGGGCCATCATGTATCCTTGTTTAGTGGGGAAGTGGGACAGAATAGCTGAATTGCTTTGCTTCTGATAAAGTGATCTAAGTTCAGATTTAGCTATTATGTAAATGAAACTTAAAGACTGCTATCAAATCTGCACTATAAGAGCACCTGGGCATAAAAATATTTGTATCAGTCAGGTGCTATCTTTTAATTAAGTCTTCCAGCAAGAATTGTTGCATTCCTTAGGCCACATTGAGAAAGTTTGTTGAAGTGGCTCTTCTGTTATATGTTTTGGTAATCTATAGTTTACAGCACAACCTCCAAAAAGAAAAAGTAATTTTTTTTTTTTTAAGACTGCTGGGTTAAGGAAAGCGGTCTTAATTCTTATATCTGTCTTAGAGCTGTTTCAGTCCTGTGACAAAGTGGGAGAAATATGGGAATATTAAACCATTATGTTTGTCTTTTAACTTATGTATTTACAGTTCTCGAGAGAGATATTCCTGAATCAAGAAAATTATTACTTTCTTCTTACTTGAAAGTTGAAAAGTATGGCAGTTTTTTGTTGGTGCTTGGCTGAGAATTTTCCAAAACCCTGATATATACATATGTAATTTTTTTTTTTTAATATTTGGATTTATGCATGCTGCTCTTCGAAGAGCTGTGTGGTTTCATAGATGATGTGCCACCAGTATTTCAGATGAACTGTGGAAGAGAAATCCTCAGTACTCTTCTAGGCAGTAAGATTTCCATAGCTCTTCCAGGCTGCTCGAAAACAGCTATGGTACTCTCCTGGTTTAAAGTTGTTTTGTTCTTCCCCCCCCCCTTCCCCTCTTTTTTACTTTTTTTTTTTCTTTCTTCTAGAGATTTGGAAAATCAGTATGAAAAGAATTCCTGAACCTACTAGCTGTTTTTATTAATCTAGGCTGGACCCAAGCATGAAAGGCTTCCCAGGGCTTGCTGAGCTGTCTGTCAACGGATTTTCAGGGGCAGTGCTCTAGAGAAGACACGCTGGCACAACAAAACCTGCTCACACAGCGACAGTGGCTCCCCCCCCCCCTTTTTTTTCCTGTGTGATGTTAACTTGTTTCTAAATTCCATTCTAGAAATAGCACCACAGTTTCACTTGCAGTTGAAATGATTTCCCTGGGTAATTGGCAAAATGCTTTGAGTTGTAAAGTGTTTATATAAGTAGTGCGATAAGAAAATGAGCATCGCTTGCCCTACACATTTCATTCCCGTTTTTGCTGCCAGCATCCATATCACAGTTGCCCAGCTGTCAGTCTCTCAGGTGCATGTGTTCCTTTATGCTTCCAGATATATGGTGTTAATAGCCTTTTCCTCCTTTGTTGCCAGCTGTAACAGATCCATACAGTTGTTTCTATGTAGATATTCCTATTGCAGACTTGGAAGAATCGTATTAGAGAAACGACCCTTGCTTTTTTTGTTATGTATCTCGATTGCTAGAATTCAAATGTGATGCTAGCTTTATTATTACTAGTTGTAAAATAATAAAAAAAAAATGGCCTGAGTAGCCTTATTAAAGAGGCCTTTTAAACTTAAGTTTTTGCAATACACTCTTAGGAAAGTCCAGTTTTGGCCTATAAAATGCACTGAGATTTTTTCCACCATTCATTCTTAGTTTAGTATTTCAGAGACGTTTTGTTTGCCTAAGCATGTGTTCTTTGGTATTGGCAACTGTGGCTTCTGTGTTCGTGCATTCAAGGAGATTTTGAAACCAAACAATTGTGCTAAATGCCCTCAAAAATTGTCTTCAGGGGAGCCGGTATGTGTCATCTTAAGCACGTGTCTGAAGTGCATAGGACTTGCCGCTCACTCGGGTCCTCTAACCTCAAGCACAGCTTGAATTAAACTCTGAGTAGCCCTACATATGTGAAATATTTCCTTTTGGTTGCCTTTTAAAATGGTCAGGCTCCCATCTTGCAGAAGCAAGTAGCACATGCTGGAAAACCTTACTAGCACTTTTACAGAATTACTGGGACTGCCCTTTTCAATCACGTGGAACCACGCTTGTGGAATAAAACGACAACACGTGAGCTTCTCAAATGCACCAGAGGTCTATCAACTTCCACTCTGTTACTGTCACTTGACAGAAGACTTCTTTTAATCTTGTGTACCAAAGCAGAAGGCAGTTCCTTCCTTCTGAAGGTAGACATCTGGACGGCTTTTTGTGGTGGTAAACCTTTATGATGGCATGATAAACCAAGGGTTTTTTTATGAATGTGTGACTTAAGGAGAGGTAACCAGTTACAATATTTGATATAGTTGCTAACAGTAGGATTTCTGTTACGTTGTGCCTGAGCAGCACTATAAGAATACATTTGATATCAGTCTTAAACATAAGGGATACGCAGGGGATCTCCTGGGTGTTCAACATCATCTTAGAGTCTACTGGAACATCTGCTGGTAGACCTTAGCTTGAGGGAAGGCGACAAGATTGAAATCTCTGTGGAGAGCGCTGGGAAAATATGAATGAAATCTGCTCTCAAGTCAAATTAGCTGAGCTAAAAGTTGTTTGTTTTTAACTTGGATCTTCCTTCCCAGTTTTGTCTGTTATTTAATAAACACTCTTAATATTGAAAATCTTCAGTGAAAAACTTGACTTGCTTAGCGGTCCTGTGAAGGAAAAGGACTTTGTGCAGAAATAATGCTTTCAGTAGGCTATCTGTGTGGTCTTTGACCTCAGCAGGTCAACGGAATTTCTTTAACTGTTACCTAGTAGTAATGTTACAGGTATTGCTCTGTATAGCCTTAGTGGGGGTTTTGTTGATTGCTTTTTTGTTTGGTTGGTTTTTGTAAACTGAGACTAGGAATTATAAATTGTAACAGTTTCTGTGCTGGTTACAGACATTTCAGTTACATGAAACATACCCAGCAAGATCTCTTAGATCTTCATAGTGCTTGTGTAGAAACTGGTTGGATTTAGGAAGACTTATTTACCTTAATGTGTTTTGAGAGAATTACTTAGAAACGTCATAAAGCTCTCATTCAGGAGATGAGGCTGTTGAATTAAAATTCAAGTTTTCTCTATGTATAAATTCTGGAGTTGGGACTTGCTTCATTATATGGGGCAATAATTGTCTATGGACTGCTTGGACTTCTAGAAATTTTTAAGTACTTAATTTGACACAGCGCCTGACAAGTGGTGAGCAGCATCTATCAAATGATTTGGTTTTTGAGAATCTGCATACTTGCAAATATTGAAATATTTTAATACTAGTAGACAATAAGGTTTTGATGTATAGCTTGCTTAAAACTTCTTTTCAGGGCTCTTCTTTTTGTGCAGTTATTTCAGCGTTTTTGTGTGTTGCTAATAAGGATGAAAGTTTTCATCCCAACTTGCATGTTTTGTACATATTTGGAAACCTTTGATACCAGAATGAAATTAGTAACTTATTAGAATTCGCATTGGATAGCTTTCTACCTCAACAAGGTACCATCTAAAACTCTATGCTGTTAAAGTTACTCTGGTTATTACATTATTCTAAACAGCGGTCCTTAATCAAAGGACTTTTATGTTCTTAATAAACAGATCTTTAATTAAAGATACATCTGTAATATATTCTGTGCACTAGAACATATATAATTTCTAAGTGCAATATTTCTATGAAGCATTTTGTCCTCAACTATCAATGTATGATCTCTAAGTTCGTGTTTAAATTGCTTATGATAATGTAGCCTGTCCTCTACATGCTGCTAATAAGACAAATAAGTTGGCCATTTCAGTGGTGCCGACACCTCGGTTCAGTTGTTGCCCGGCTTCCCAGGCACCTACCCTTCTTCAGGTACTTGCACAGGCAAACCACGTAAGCAGCAATGCTGCTCTGCAACCAACGGGCTGCTCACAGGCTTGGCTTCAATACGAGGCCACAAAGGAAGCTTTTCAAACTAGTTGTTTGTTTTACTGGCCTTGCCCAGTCCTTAAGGTGTACTTTGATCACACCTGAGCCAAATGTAGCTCAGAGAGAGAATAAATGTCTAATGTGCATGTCTTGAGGGGTTCAGAATAGTCCTGGATTCAGTTCTTTGCTTTCTTGTCAGCAAGTGCCTTCGCTAGCGTTCTCAGGCAGGCTTTTTTCCCATGTGGCTGCTGGAGCCTGTTCTGGTTTTGTACCAATACTCAGGCAGAGACTTGAAGCTCTCTGTCTCTGACCTCCCAAGTTAATGTTCTACTATTGAGTTTATAATCAGTCTTGGACACAAAGAGCTTTTTTTTTCTACAAAAGCCTGAGACCTGCCATGATCCACCACAAAATACTCAGTGGGTTGGTGACTAGGTTATCTTAGCTAAGTGGCAGGGTGTGTAGATGCAAATTCTTGTTCTTAATTCTTATAGAAAAGAGGCTTATTATAGGTGTATGGCTTCTCATTTGCTGTCATGTGTGTCAGTACTCAGGCTTAGGTCAGAGTTGCAGGGTACTTGCTGCCTGTTGATCTCATGAGGTATAGATGTCTCAGCTTTTCCTTGCGTCTCTGATTTTTTTTTTTTTAAATTGAGTGGCTTCAGGCATTGAGTATCCAGAAGTTCTACACTGGCTTTTGGACAATAATTTGGGCATAGAGTTTCTACGGGAGTAGGTTATTTATTGATGAGATATTGGGGCTCCATAAAATTATTGAAATGCTGTTGAAGTTCATACTTGGAGTCTTTCAGTAAAATGCAGTGAATTTGAGCAAGGAATGTAAAATAGCTCAATTATTTCTTAAAGAACTGAAGTTAATGCTTCCAGTATGAATTCTCAATGTAAAAACACAAAATAACATGATGATCCTCTTTGAGCGTGTAACTCATTGTAATGCTTTGATTTTTTTTTTTCTTTAATTTAGATCTAATACAGTGCACAAATGAAATGAATGTGAATATTCCGCAGTTGGCAGACACACTCTTTGAGAGAACTGCAAACAGTAGCTGGGTTGTAGTGTTCAAAGCTCTAATTACAACACACCACCTCATGATGTATGGCAACGAGGTAAGACATGATTAGTTCTATTAAAGCTGCCTTGACAGTGTTTTAAAAAATTGTCTCAATCTGTGAAGCATTAGATATGTACTTCAGTTTTTCAAAGGTCTCTGTTTGTCCTCTGCTGATGGCTGTAAAGTACTTTTCCAGAGAAGAAAATATTCCTTCATTATTTCAATACCGAAATATATCAGTGTTTACAATTTACCTGCAGGTATCTGGGTTGGGCTGTGAGGGAATGAGTGACCTTTCTAGAATAAAGACTTCTGATGAGCTTTACTTCATTGGGCTAGTGCTTATCAGTAAGAGCACAGCAAGAGTCTTCTTAGCACTCCATAAATGTGCAGCCAGGCTATTAACAGATAAGAATACTCACTAAAGGGAGGAGGAATATGGTGACTAGAATATTTGATCTTGCAAATCATCATCTAATGGGCTAAATCTTCATATGTTGTGTCTATTAACATTCCTCTGAAACAGGTTTCTATTGCATTTGGCTCACTTAAATTATTTTATCGCTATTTAGGAAAAGCTTCCCAGACAATAACATGGCATTAGAAATGGAGCCTCTCTTACACAGTCCTGCCATTAAAAACTAAACTCTGTGTTGGTCAGGTGACTGTTTAGTCCTGAACCTGTGAGTAGTCATTCTCCTAATAAATGACTGTTGACTACTGCTAATCTTGAAATGATGATTCTTCAAGGTACTACTTCCAGCCATTAAACTGCTCTGAAAGCTTTGTGTTGTCTCCTCTCTCCAAAGCTCTGTGAGCTTAATCGAAATGACCTGTAAAACAGTGTGTTCTTTCTTAACATTTCCCCAAGTTATTTATGGGGTTAAATTGTAGTTTCAATAGATAATAGACTGAAATTAGAAGATAATACGAAGTAAAATTCACTGCTTGGAATTCACTACTTATTCCAAGTATAAAGCTAAACTGAGTGCTGTAAATCAGTTTGTGTATTTTATTCTCTCTTCTTCTAATACAGTTCATATCTACACACTGAAACTTGAAAGAAAAAAGGGCAGAGAGCTGAACCATAGAAAAACAATCAAAACTTAGAGTTGTAGGCTACCAGTCAGCATCTGTTTGCCCATTCAGTGTTTTGTAGTGTCAGAACATTGAACTTTTATGTCTGTACCAAAACTGCTCCTCAGCTTTGAATGGGTTCGTTTGAAACTTAAAATAGTTCCTTTATCCCTGCTGAGATAATGTAGCTGGAACGCTAGTTCTGTAATTTCAGGTGGAACATGACTGTACTCCTCACTCCTCTAATACGTTAAAAGAGGCCTTTTTCTTAAACAGATAAAAAATTATCAGATGTTGGACTTCTATTTTAAGTATAAATATAGCAGAAGGTTAAAATGTTGTCTGAGCAATCACTGTCTTGCCATTTCTTGTTCAACATGACTGCTTGTTTCTTGTGATGAAGTTTTGGGTGAAGCAGGTTAAAACTCCTTTCACCTGTGCATTGTGCAATGCAAGACCTCTGACATCTGGAGAGTAAGAGCCTTGGCCCTTTTAAAATGAGATTCAGAACAGTAGCTAATTTTGAAATGTGTATAGACACCTTTCGAACATCACTGTTCTGTTCCTGATCGTGTTCCAACTGTTTTTCTTCTTGTGTATCTCTTTGAATGCAGTACTAAGATGTACAAAGACCAGACAAACCGACTGGAAAACAGCATAAGAAGTTAAAACAGTGCCAGAAGTGTTGGTAGGCAAGCTGCGTGTTGTAGACTTGTGTGAACTCCGTAGCTATAGGCTGAGAACACATACGGAGTTACTGATGAGGTGGTACGTGACAAGTCGGGGAATCATTTGGGCCCCTTGGAAGGTGAAAGTACTGCTTTCAGTTTAAATAGCACTTGTGAGAAGAATTTTCTTGTTGCTGTGCTAAGCCCTCATTACAGTTCCCAAAGAGCGGGTGCTATACTGAGCCTGACTTTAAAAAAAACGCTAGTTTTGCAGAGTGCAATAGTCCAAACCTGGCAGACAGGTGGATTTCCACCATCAAGTGTGAAGGAACAGGCCCTGTGTGCTGTGGCAGCAGAGGGATTCAGATCAAAGATGTAAAAAGTTCCTTAAGCAATGCTGATCATAATCCTCTTTTAGGGACTAAAACATATACAAAGAAGCAAGGAAGTCGAGAAATGGCAATCATAGGAGATCTGTGTGGAACAGTGGCAGAGAAACTTTTAAAACTACCTTGCTATCTGCATGTGTTTATCTCTTACTCTTGTGTTATTTATGGAGCCAGCTATTATTTGTCATAACTTAAATATTGTTTAGTCGGATCACTGCATTATAAAATATATATGGGTATAAAATATAATTGTATATACATGTAATATATAACCCCAGCGCTGCTGCTTATCACAGTTCCAGAAGCATTATTGTTACTAATTACTTTTAAATTTTGTAACTAAGCCTGTCTCCCACTTCTACAGCAGCAGTAGAGCTATGCAAAGGTTGGGAGCTTGAATAATGCGAGTGGTATTTTTGGTTTGTGTTTTCCAGCTTGTCTGTTCTAAACTACAAAGTTAACCTAAGCAGCTTCCTCTAGGATTATTAGTCTTTTATTCACGGACAGTGATGTCTTCTTACTTAGTTTAAATTTATATTTTTGCCAAATAGAGTTCTGGATTTCAGAGGCTGTGCTAATCCGTAGTTTCAAGTTTTCCTTTAAATTTTTCCCTTTTAATTAATTTCTATTGTTGATAGCGGTTACTAGAAACAGTTACAAGGTAAGTGTAGTTTTCTTGTAATATGGTTAACTGTTCTGACTCACGACAATGATACTCTCAACTTTTTCTTCACCAACAGCGCTTTATCCAGTATCTTGCATCCCGAAACACTTTGTTCAATTTAAATAACTACCTGGACAAAAGTGCCATGCAGGGTAAGGATCTTTCACTGAAGGAAATAACTCTACTGCTTTTTTGCTCTGTGATAGTGCCTGTGTCGGTGCACTCTAGGAGACAAATGATATTTAAATGAAAGGCTATTATGATTTACATTGCATGAGGCCCCAACGAATGTCCAACCAAGAATGCAGACACAAGGAAAGTGAGATTCTGAGTTACCTAGCTAAGTGCTAGAAATTTGTCTGTAATGCATGTATCGTGCATACACAGCTGTAAATTTTAAAAAGCGAAATCCTAACGCTGACTAAAATAAACCTGATGAATATTAGCACAATGATCTATTTTTGCCATTGCATTTTAGTGTCTCAGGAGTAAATGTTTACTCTTAAGGTATGTGGAATGATAACTAGGATGTGCTGTATAAATAGCAAGAACTCCTTCAAATCTCTGAGAAGTCTTTTAATTACTTGCCAATGGTAGAAAATATTTTTGGGTCTTTATTTGGTTTTTGAGGCATTGCAGTTACTGAAGTCTTCAGCATTTTGCTAGGAATACGTTCTTAGTCTAATTTCAAGAACATCTTAAGAGCTGCTTGGTTCTTGCCTAATATTTTATGCTTGGTTCTTGCCTAATATTTTAATGTGTTTAGGTGTTTATTCTCATAATTGCAATGAACGCTTTCCTAATCTTAGCAAGTTGGGAAGAAACCGTAATGTTACATCTCAAGGTGGAAAAATAGTGAATCTCAGGACTCTGGAAAGTGTTTTTTATGCTAATTGATGTAAAATGGGCTAGTAGGAGAATAGTTCTTGAAAAGAACTTAAAAGAAACTGTACTGCTTAAAAAATGTCTAACTTATAAATGCTTAACTTTTAGGCTATGATATGTCTACCTTCATTAGGCGATATAGCAGATACTTGAATGAAAAAGCACTTTCATATAGACTTGTAGCAGTTGACTTCACCAAAATGAAGAGAGGGTAAGACCGTTATTGCCTCTTCTGTTTGGTCTTTCATATTGGGGGGAGGGAAATACCAGTTGTTCTTGAGCTTATCACAGACTGGTGTTCCTTTTGGCCCTTTGAAGCATTATAGTGGTGTTGAAGCAGCATAACATGCTGAGGTCTCTTGGTAACCTGTAAATGTGTCTTCTACTCTGTAGGCTGGACGGAGTGATGAGAACCATGAATGCTGAAAAGCTTCTGAAAACCCTTCCAATCATACAGAACCAGCTTGACGCACTCCTTGATTTTGATGTAAGTACTTTAAGCTCAGTGTTGGGTAACACTCGCATTTTGAAGTGAGAGTTGCATTATTTTATTAAATACTAATTTACTTTCTTGTTGCTTTCTACACAGGCAAATCCAAATGAACTAACAAATGGTGTTATAAATGCTGCCTTCATGCTCCTCTTTAAAGATTCCATTAGACTTTTTGCAGCATACAATGAGGGAATTATTAACCTTTTAGGTATGTGAGAATTTTTTTTTTGCTTTTGAACTTTTGTGAAAATATTGAGAGAACTAAAGAATATAGACAATTTCTGACTGCAGTTTCCTAATAAATTCTCTCTGCTCCATTACTATTAAATTAAGCCTGTCTTAGTTTAGGGGCAACTAGCATAGGCTTAAACATATGCTTTTACCTTGAAGAATACATCTTGCAACAGAAATTGAGATGAGAGGGTGACTGGTGAGACTAAAACAAAGATACCATAAATGTGCGGTGGATAACCTTTGGCAATTGGACTGTAAAAGTATTAGTGATGTCCCTGGTATTTTGAATATTTAGTATAGTTCCGGTGTGACTGACTTCTGGTTTCCGGTACTTTCTTTATAGCTTGACTATTCACTTTTACCTGGTAACTGAATCTGCATGAGCCTAGTAGATGACACGTAGGGTTTTTTTGTTCAAGAGTGGTAAGCTCTTAGCAAAGCCTTATAATGACTATTCAAGCAAATTTCTGAATGAAAACATCTGATCAGTTTGCTCTGTTAATCCATGAGTTTTTACTCAGTGAAATATCTGTAAGTATATAGGGCAAAACCACAAAAAGTGAAGGATGTGGTTGACACTCCTTTTGGTAGGTCAGTTCAGTGTACGTACCACTTCAGTAGCTGTTTTGATGTCTTTTGGATATTGAGGCCATTTGCAAACATGAAAACATATTGATACAGGGTCTAAAAATGTAAATACATAGCAGGAATATTTTCAAATGATAAAATAATTTGCCTCGTTGCCAGCTAATAAGCTGACTTCTTGAAAGTATTCCCCTAAATACTTAATTTAACAATTGCAGACATTCACATCCATGCTTAATAAAGATTTGCATCATATTCTGAAGTACTGAAATAAAAAATCAGTGTTTTTCTATTGACTGACTTATTACAGAAGGTGTCAGGTATTCATGTAAACTTTAAAATCTGAATAGCTTTGAGTTACTCCTGTCTGTTCTCTCCGTGAAGCTTGTCTTGAATTAACTGTTACAATACCATGTCAGCTTTTTGCTGGGGAGGCTGTTATCTTACAAGAGTTTTATTTGCATCCTCAGAAAGATATTTTGATATGAAGAAGAACCAGTGCAAAGAAGGCTTGGATATTTACAAAAAATTTCTAGCCAGAATGACCAAATTGTCCGAATTCCTCAAAGTAGCAGAGGTAAATAAATGTACATCTATGGGAAGGATATCATTTAGCTGTCTGTACTGGTACAGTAGTCTATATTCATAATAACAACTTCACAAACAGATTAATGTTCGCTTAACTTCACTATACAAGGAAGTATTCTATAGATTAGGTATTTTAAGATTGTATATGCTCTTTAACATGAAGTGAGATTCTTGGGTATCCTTTTTATTAGCCAGACCACATAGTAAGCTTTCTGAAGTATTGTTATAAATTTCATTAATGGTTCAAAATGTATGAACTGAACATTACAGTCTACTTACAGTGCTCTCCTTTACTGTAACTGCTCAAAATGGAGAAGTAGTTTCAGTAAGCAATGCGGGTGTTTCTAGTGTTCCCTGTAAGCTTTTCTGCATGAAGAAGTTAGGCTGGATGAAAAGTTGCGTTTGCTTTGAGATGCAATTTAATACACTTGTGATTTGAGGTGTGTTCCTAGTGAAACTCATACCAGTTCAGAAAGTTATGAATATCCCTTTTTAATATGTTAGTTTCTATGTAACATTCAGACATCACTGGTTTTTATTTTCATTGCCACTGCATGTAGTAATGTACATTTTTTCTTTTTTTTTTTTTTTTTGTAAACCCAGCAAGTTGGAATTGATCAGGGTGACATTCCAGATCTTACTCAGGTCAGTGTGCGTATCATACTGATTAACCCAATTATTTTGTTCTTTGCGTTTTTAAAGGTTGGTGTGTATCATAGTAATCATTCATCTTGAGAACGTATTCTCTTCTATGCATATATATATATGGGAAATATGTATGGTGACTTTTCCCATGGATTAAACATGCTCAGTACTCGCACTTTGCAGCTCTTAAGATTTTTTGCAATAAAACAGGAAATATTTTTCAAGAACTTCTCGTTTTTATCACAGAAGATTCACTGGCATGTAAGCTACAAGCATCTTGCCATGTCTTGAGGAAAACCTTCTATTTCACTGTAACTTAAAGATTACAGTTACCTAGTTCAGTCAAGAATTTTTTTCTTTCCCCTGAGGTCTGAATAGATTTGACGTTTCTATATCAGCACTTAACGCTGCCTTCGATATTACTCAGCAGTATGAGGGACACGAGCAATACAGGTTGTGCACTGGAACGTTTAGTCTAAAAAGTAGAATGCAGGGGAACACCTTCTAGTGAGGATAAATTGAGGGGTGGAAAGGAGGTGAGAAAGATGGATTGACCTAGTGAACAGGAAACGCTGATAGTCAACAGAAGTGCACAAAGTTACTCTTTGCAAGTTCCTTTTAGTTCATAGGGACATTGTATTTCTACCCTAGGATCAACCCAACAGGACATAGGTATTTGGTATGTTTTCTGTAGCGCGGAGTAACCTGATGGGTAGAATAAATGGCAATCTGTCAGGAGGCTTGGGCAATGAACTGGAGTGCCTTAGAGGTCTAGAGTACTCAAGCTGTTTAAGTGGCGTCAGTGTGAAACAGTTAAAATCTAATGTGTAAACTTTGAACAGTCACATCTAATCCTACACTGCCTTCATGAAATTAAATTTCATGGGTTAGTCATGTAAAAATATATCTACTGTGAAGATTTGCCTAAATTTCATCAGTCTCTCTTTAATATGGAAATCAAATCTAAACCACGAACTCCCATTGTTAGTGTTGTTTGTTACTGCCTACAGTATGATTTCCATCTGAAATCATACGTGTTTCAAAGTACAAATCTCTGATACTTGCTCCTAGCAATTAATATTAACACCTCTAAGAACTTCTAGGCCTTTGTGGTAGGAAAGAAATACGACTGTAACCAGCAGGGTAAGAGCAGGTAATGAGTGAAACCAGTAGTTTGATGTTCTTTTGGTGTTTGATCTTAGCATCTTACTCTGTCTTTTGATTAGTACTGCAGTATTCAGCTGGTCTGTATTGTGCTAATCAAATTATACTCAAGTCTGAAGTTATACTTGACTGGGTTTGTGTGCACTTGTCCAGTTAATTGGGTAATTATAAGGCTCTTCAATCTTTTTTTGATTTACTGAGAATGGGGGATTTAACTTCATTTTGCTGCTCCTTATATATGAAACTTTCAGTGAGCAAAACCCTTTATATCTACTGTTCTCACAACATTTTTTTTCTAATAGCTCAGCTATTTTGTTCTAAGTGCACTAGACATGAAAGGCAACTCTGAACTGTGGTAGTAGATGTCAGCATCCTGTGCATTTTGGCAGTTTCAGTGCCACTGTTCAGCATTCCACTTCCGTAGTAAATTTCATGGCATTTAATAGGAATTGAATAACTGTACATCAGTTTAGTGCCACATTAAAAGAATTTGTTAAAATTTCTTAATACTAGGCTTTCACAAAAGTTTAATTTTCCGTGTGCTCGTGTTTCTGAAATAAGCTCTGACAGGATCATGTCTTTTGTTTCTATTCTAATCTACCATATTTAATTTCTTTCCAAATATTTTGTTTATGTTTCTGGTGTATATTCTGTTCTGGGATATGCATATTTCAGAGTTTCCTTAAGCTGTGCCTGACAACAATCATTTTATCTCTTTAGGGATTTCTTATTCCTGC